TTTTTTGGTCCAGCCGGATTGGTCCAGCAGTGTCCCTGTCATAAATATACAACTAAGGGTAGCATAAAGTCCCTCCTGAGCAGCTGTACTGAATCCTTACCTATAAGGGGTTAAGAAGCTCAAATAACCTGGTTGGCACCTGACCAAAAGGACCAACAAGGAAAGAAGTTACTTTCAAATCTGGGGGTGGGGGAGGTTTTGTTTGTGCTCTCTTTGTTGTTCCCTCTCTGGATGGAGAGAGAGATCAGGCAGGAAAAACATCTCCTGAAAACATACCTAAAATGAGCATCTAAGATTACAAAAATTGTAAGTAATAGCAAGGAAATGCATTAGATTATCTTTTGTTTTAGCTTGTGAATTTCCCCTATGCTAAGAGGGAGTTTTATTCCTGGTGTTTTTTTTTTTAACTTTGAAGCTGAGCCTAGAGGGGAATCCTCTGTGTTTAAAATCTTTTTATTACCCTGTAAAATTACCTTCCATCCTGATTTTGCAGGTGTGATTCTTTCCCTTTTTCTTTAAGAACCTGATTGATTTTCAGTGTCCTAGAGACAAAGGGTCTGGTTGGTACTCACATTATTCTCAAGCCTCCCCAGGAAATGGGGTAAAGGGGCTTGGGAGAATATTTTGGGGAACTAGGGACTCCAAGAGACCCTTTTGGTGGTGGCAGTAATACTGTCCAAGGACAAGGAAAGGATTTGTGCCTTGGGGAAGTTTTTACCTAAGCTGGTAGAAATAAGCTTAGGGGTTCTTTCATGCGGGTCCCCACATCTGTACCCCAGAGTTCAGAGTGGGGAGGGAACCCTGACAGTCCCCATCCTGCTCCCAAGCTTAAACCTTTCACACACATGCCCATTTCCCTTTCCCCGTTTTGTCCCTGTCAAGGCTGTTTCCTCACTTGGACACTTTGAGTGCAGTAGGTGGGGGCCCGCAAAAGACCTTAAAAGTACTTGCCACCTATGACTTGCATTAAAACTCCCCAAGATTACAGATTCCCTGGCCTTAGACTGTTATTGCTGCCACCACCCAAAATGCAAAAACCTCCTTGAGAACCCAGGATGTCGCATTTGGTAATTCCTTCCTGTGAGGTACCCTCAAGCTCTTTTAACCTCCCGCCCCCATCTCCGGAGAGATCTTGGGGGAAAAAAGTGCTGTTGATACCAACTGAGAAGTATGGAACTTTATTTCCTCTCAGTCATTTGTCTGAGCAGTCTTAGACACGTGCACACAGAACCTCCACTTTCTAGGACACAGGGATCAGATCATGTTCTTAAAAGAGTGATTTTTATGAAACAAAGAGAAAACAGATCTGGCAAAACATTGCTTGGTTGCTAGGTGTTATAGCGCAATTAAAAAAAAATTAAAAACACAGAGTGTTGCTTCCCTGGGATTCAGCTTGTAAATTTATGGTACAAGGGGGAAGTTACAAGTGCTCAGCACAGAGAATCCAACAAACTAAAAATAAAGAAATAACCTGATCGCGTCTGACAAAACATTCCCTCTTCTACTCACATATCTGTAGTTCAAGGTTTAGTCCTTTCCTAGGCATGGATGTCGCTGGATTCTCCATGCCTGGCCATTCATCTCCTTCCAGCAGCCTTCCCTCCCAAACACAACAGGAACAACAGGAAAAGAAAGGGCTGCTGCTGCCAATTGAAAATCAAAGGTTTGTTTTCATTGGCTCTCCTGGCCTCCTGCCAACTCACTGCCTGCTTCTTTAAGCATTCCTGGGAGTCTGGGACTCTGTGATTTTAACCTTTACAGGCAAGGCAACTAATACTTAGGTCTAAAGAGTGAACAACTACTGAGAAAGATTCCAGCTAAGTGAATGGCTGGAACATCCAGAAAATGGTGTTCCCCGCCCCCCATTCACCACAGTCCCAAAGAGTAGATTCCCAATCCCAGGCAGTTAGTGCCCAGAGGGCTCTGCCCACCTCTCTGGGATTTCAAATGTCCCAGATAATCCCTTGAGGAGAAGCTTCTGGCTGCAGAGATTCCCATATTGACACTGCCAAACTTGATACAAAAAGTCTCGAAAGATTTGAGGCCACAGAGCAGACCAACGCCATGGAGCAGACTGATGTGTGACAAAGCCTGGAAATGTTGCTACTAACAGTCTTCACAGCAGGTACTAACATCCACTGTCTGCTGTTTGTACTTGGGTGGCTTAGGTAAGCCCTCAGGTAGCTCAATTTGGGTGTGTGGCGCCATCTGCTGTTGTGTTGGGTGATAACAGGGTCTGGAGAGGCTGAATCACCAGCAAACAAGTGTGGAAAAGGTGGGGTGATTAGAGAGACATAGGTGGGTGATTAGAGGGACACAGCAGTTTCCACAGCTCCCAGACTGCACCCCAGGGGTGACAACCCATCACACTCATACCCTTTGGAGCCCAAATTAGGTCCCCAGGCACCTGTGATGCAAGCATAGGGCAGGGACTGTATCCAGAACAAAAGATCCAGATATAGCAGTTGTTTGATTCCTTTACCACTGTGTTCTCCCCCGAGCAGGGCATCACAACGTAAAACAGCACAGTGAGAGGAGAAGTCCCATTGTACTAATTCTGACACAGGGTAGCACAGCCACTTTTCTGCATCAATTTCTGAAAGATCAACACAATATTGAAATTTCATGATTACCCTATGCAGAGAGTATCAGAGGGTTAGCCGTGTTAGTCTGAATCTGTAAAAAGTCACTTGCATCTGAAGAAGTGAGGTTCTTACCCACGAAAGCTTATGCTCCCAATACTTCTGTTAGTCTTAAAGGTGCCACAGGACCCTCTGTTGCCCTATGCAGAGAGGAGATGAAATATTAGAACAGTTTGAGCCTCCATATATATAGCCATTTTAAACCTCACAAAGGGATATTGACAAATCCCTTTGATGCAAGTATCCTGGGAGAAGAAAGCCTTTTCCACACCCTATGGCTGGCATTAATTAAGAATCACTTCATTTGCCCTTCACAGAGTGGCATTGACTTTGCAGAGGCTAATGATCTGTATATTACAACTGCATGGGCAGTACGCAGCAGTATGCTGCTACGATCAATTGAAAATGGTTTTTGGTTCCGTGTCTTATGGCAGTATAGCCACACACAGTGCAGATGGCAGTACATTACACACAGGAAAAAAAAAAAACATTGTCAATTGCTAGGCTGAACAACAGCGTGCAAGTCTCAGTTTGCCCTGACAATCTTCAGCCCCTGATATCGGCAGATCATTTCTTCACTCCCAGGGGAGGCTCTCAAGCTGAAGTTCTCCAGGGTCTATTTCATGCTCATCCCACTGCTCACGGAGCCAAGGGAGTTTTCCAGGAATCCTGGCCAACCTGAGAGTCTGCAGGGACTGTACAGGGGAATCATAAAGATCACTGCTCAACACGTCGAATAGATTTCTTCTTTTGGCTGAGCGAGATTATGGTGAGTTGCCTGTTTCTGCACTAAAGTTAGTGCTAAGGGCTCAGGAAGGGTTCCAGGGTACAAGTCAAGAACCATCTGGGCAGGAATTCAGCAGCACGGTGATGTGAACTGTTTAGTATTGTTAGAAACACCAAAGGATTTACCTGATAACATTGAAACTACAAATATACTGGGAATAGTTTAGACAAATAATTGTTTTTAAGAAAATTCCTTGTCTCTTACTTTGTCCCTCTATCTGTCTCAGTAGTTTCCTTTTTTGGCCAGTGTGATTTTTCTCTGGTTCATTAATTTTCTCCAATTCAGCGACTTCCCTGACCTATTAGGAAGTGCAGCCAAAGTCTCTGCAGTGGGTATCTGTGTTACCAGAGGGTTCACAACAAGAATGGGTCACACACTGGCCAGATTCTGCTCTCTCATTCGACCATCACTGGGTCACTCCAGATTGACACTGGCCTCCCTGAGAGCCAAATCAGGGCCCATGTGTTTTGGAATCCCCATCTTTCATGCCTGGTCTCAGAACACCACATAAACTGGGGGTTTCCTTCACAATCTTTCAGCGCTCTCACAGAAGTGCTCTCTGTAGCAGAACCCAAACAAGTGATTTTTGCAGCTTGTAGCCAAAAGTTAAAAACTCAGGGTGAATCTCGTCCCATTGAGATCTAATGGGCTGCAATACATTAAAGCTTTGTTTCGCTTTGAGGAGGAGTTACTCATGCTGGCTCCTTTTAGTCTCCATGTCCTCTGTCCCTCCCACCGGGTCTTTCCCTCTCTCCTTCCCTGCATAGGCTGAGCCACCGCTGGGGTTCCCTTTGAAAGAAAAGCAGTTCAGGCTGATATCCCCTTTTCCCCGGTGCAGGCAGACACTGAGTTTAACCTCATCTGAGGAGGTATTTCTGTGAGCTGTTGCTGTGGGGTCTGGCACCTGAGTGAGGGGTATTGCAGTGTGGCAGGGATGGAAGTTGCACAGGGTGGGGACCTGCCCTGTCAGGTCACAGAATTGCAGCCTGGGTGTCACCACCTGGACATTATATAACAGATTTAAAAGTGGCCAGACTTGAACAAAAAAACTTCAGAACCAGACTTCAAAGAGAAACGGCAGAACTAAAATTCATTTGCAAATATTATGCCATTAATTTGGGCTTCAATAGGGACTTAGAGTGGCTGGCTTATTACAGAAGCAACTTTTCCTGTCCTGGATTTGACACCTCCTCATCTATTATTGGGAGTGGACTACATCCATCCTGATCGAATTGGACTTGTCAACACTGGTTTTCCACTTGTGAGGTAGCTCCCTTCTCTTCATGTGTCAGTATAACAATGCCTGCATCTGTAATTCTCACTCCATGCATCTGAAGAAGTGGGTTTTTTACCCACAAAAGCTTATGCCTGTATAAATCTGTTAGTCTTTAAGATGTCACTGGACTCCTTGTTGCTTTTGTGGATACCGACTAACACGGCTACCCCCGGAGGTTTGTCAAATTTAACTATTTGTTATAATTGTTATAAAGTGTGTAATCCCCTTGCTGTGCTTCTCTCCCTTCACAGGAACCTTGATAGTTTCTGACCCTGATCATCTCATCGACCACCTCATGGCAGCTTTCAACCTCACCCCCTCTGACCCTTCAACATTCACCTTAATGGGCATCCCTGGGCTAGAAGCTGCTCACATCTGGATTTCCATCCCTTTCTCTATGTTCTTTGTAATTGGCCTGTTGGGAAATTTCATGCTTCTTTTTGTTGTAAGCAAAGAACAGACCCTGCACAAGCCGATGTACCTGCTACTCTGCATGCTGGCACTCACAGACATTGGCACCTCTACCTCCGTCGTGCCGAAGGCACTGTGTATATTTTGGTTCAATTTGAAAGGCATTTCTCTGGGTGGCTGCCTCACCCAGATGTTCTTCCTTCATGCGGTTTCTAATATGCAATCAGCCGTCCTCGTGACAATGGCCTTTGATCGCTATGTAGCCATATGTAACCCTCTGAGATACGCCACCATCCTCACCAATGCACGAATAGCTAAACTAGGGCTCTTCGGTTTGATAAGAGCTGTTCTCTTCATTCTGCCCCTGCCCCTGCTCCTGAGCAGGCAGCCATTCTGTAACAACCGCATTATCCCCCACACGTACTGCGACCACATGGCTGTGGTGAAGATGTCGTGTGGGGACACCACAGTCAGCAGATTGTACGGCTTGGTGATAGCGGTTGTAGTCAACGGATTAGACCTGATGCTCATTGCCTTGTCATATGGTCTGATCCTCAGGGCCGTCCTCAGAATCTCCTCCAAGAAAGCCCATGAGAAAGCCCTCAACACCTGCACAGCCCACATCTGTGTGATGTTGATGTCTTATCCTCCCTTCTTCTTTTCCACTCTGACACATAGGTTCAGTCAGGGCATCACTCCCCACATTCATATTATCTTGGCCAACCTCTATTTCCTCCTCCCCAACATGCTGAACCCTATCATTTACGGGGTCAAAAACAAAGAACTTCGTGAGAAAGTGGTCAAATGCACTTCCAGAATGTGTTCTCTCTGGGGCCACTGACATTAAACCTTCCTGACTGGATGGGGAAATGATATCTCCTTGTTAATCACAGGTGCTCTCTCCTAGTTTGGCTTAACTCACCATTGTAGAAGTTCACTGTACAAGAAATTCCACATACCTAATATCTTATCATTCCATCTCCAAGCTCTGCTCTCTCCATTGCTGAGTTCCCTCTCTCTGACCATCACCTGACCTCTTTCAGTATCCCCATCAGCCCCCAACCCGCACACACCCTGTCGCTTGGCCTTTCCATGACTTCCAGACCACCAAAAGATATTGCAGCTTTCTGGTGCAAGGTGGCTTGTATTAATCCCTGTGTGAACAGGTTTCTTGATCAGTTTGACAAACTAAAGCTGCGCTTTTACAAAGCCAAAGACAAAGAAAGAAACAACAATGCTGAACTTCTTTTTCATAGGTGCAGTGATCCGGTGAGTAAAATTTACCTTCTAGAGCTTATTGGTGAGAGTTGTGAAACCATGTATTTTTGAGAACGGGACTGCTATATTAAACTACAACCAAAACCATTGAGTCGCTTTCCAGTTGGAACTCTCAAAACAGACACTAACAGTTCACATTGTCGAAGATGTTAAAATAGGTGTCGAGATTTCATGTTGGAGTTTTGAAACAGATGAAACAGAGATAGCCACCAAATGTCAAAGTGATTGGATCGCTTGCAGTATTAAGTCCTTCTACTGCACTCAGCTCGGCACAACCTACATTGGCTGATATCTCATTTTTGCCATTGGTTTGTGGAGACTTTGGACAGTTGGAGCAGCAATGGAGAGATTTGCCTATGGGTCACTGGCCTCATGCTCAGGAAAACCAAGTTGAGCAGTTAGAAGTTCTCTAACACACGGATTCTGCTGAGAACAAAATCTTTAGAGAACTTGGCTTGTTTGCTCTTTCATTCCTGTTGCTACCTTTTAGCAATGCTGCAGTTGAATGATTTTCTCAGATGAACTTGATAAAAACAAAATCATGCAAGAAGATGCAAGAGGAACTTTTAGAAAACATTCTTATTATGACACAAAATCTGTTGTGAACAGTTTGCATCAAAGAAAGAAATGATTGCAGTGGTCACTGCTGATGTATAAGCAGCAGGAGGAGCATTCAACTCCCAATGAAGATAGCAAGGATGAAATGTTGCCTTTTAGAAATGAACAGCAAGAAACTAATTCATCTCAAAATATGGACATTGACTACCATCCCTGAATGCCATTAGAAAAAAATAACATAATAATGTGATTGTGGTTTTTACCCTACATATGTTTTGGGCTTCTTTGCGGTTATTTTTAATACTGTTTTTTTGAAACACCTGCCAACCCTCAATCGGGATACAAGTACCAGTACTGGGATTTTGATTTTGAATTTGATTATCATCTCATAGCTTTGTTGCTAATGTGCACCAGCTCCTGCTGGGGCTTGTAGCTTTAAAAAAAAATCTGTCCTAGATATCTAATGAAATCTTTCATCTCTTTCTTGATGTATAGGCCAACATGTTGATTGAAAACCAAAACCAAAACTGTTTGCTTCAAGAAATAGATTGAGTTACTTTTGGGTTAGTTTTTAAATTTGGGCTCATAATCCAGTCGAAATCTGGCAATTTTTCGAGCTGAGTTGGAGGCAGGGCAGCGGCAAACAGAAACATAAGGGAAGTGAAGCAGCCCAGAAGGCAGAAGGGTGTACGTAGACCTGATGGAAGGACAGATGCTGGGGAGAGGAGAACCGCAACCTAGAGCCGGAGGGAATGTGACCACCACCAGAACAGCTGCCTTACTTGCGGTATCAGGCAGAGAAGCCACGGCCTGGGTTGGAGGCATGGGACATGTGAGGAACAAACTGGGAACATTTCTTACATCAGCTGTTCGTGGTGTTCCCCGTGCCCACAGAGTGGGGTTCCTTGTTTCTTGAACATTTTTCATGTTTTTTTTTAACAATTACCGTTTAGTAAATTATATTTGGTTTGAACTTAATGTAGTGATCAGTGGGTCACAGAAGCATTTGGTGTGAAGAGGGTACCCTGCAGTGGGGCCACCCTAGCACCTGTCCTAAGTGACCACGATGAGACTGGAGGTTCAGCCTGCCAGGAATCCTGGGCCCAGCCATGTCACCATTACGAGGAATCTGCTACACAGGAGAGTGTAAGGGGAGTCCTTGAGGTGAGGCAGGTCTCTGGGTAAAGGGAATTGGAGTGGGGACTCAAACCCTTTCACTAGCCAATTCTCCTGGGTGCTGCAGAAACCAGGAAAGTTTCCCACAACAGCAGGACCATTGCCCTACGTACAGTAGGGAATGGGACAAACTGGATTTTGGGCTGGATTTTAGTGACTTGTGAAATATCATATACATGAAAAAAATCTGAAATGTGTAACTTTGGGGAGCACACTGTCTGAGTAAGGTGAATGTAACATCACTGCACGCAGCTGGCTGCCCTGACTCAGGCAGATATGGGCAGCCTGTGTCATGGCTTACCTTGGCTGTAGGGGAGCTGGAGTGAGCTGTTACCAATGGCCCTGAGTACTGAGAGAAGCCCATCCCCTGCCACAAGTTCCCCCCACCACAGTGGCCACCTCAGCCCAGCAGGACCCCTGGCTGTGGAGGGAATGCAGCCTCATGGTGATGGGGACCATTTTGGTGAGATGCCATCTCCCGCAGCCACACATGGCTCTGGTCTTTACACCCCTCAGCTCCCTTGGTGCCAGACAACACCCCCTTTACATCGTATTCAGGCCCATAGTTCCCTGAGAGTCATGATCCCATGGCAGGGTTTCTTGGTCACCGCATGTTCCAGGAGAAATCACTTCAGCAGCCCATTTTGCTTCCTTCTCCAGTGTGAGCTCGACTCAGGGCACTTGGAATCCCACTGCTGAGTCCATGAAGTGGTGGCCAGCATGGGCCATGGTGGGGTTAACACACATCTGTGGCATGGTGGTACATCACCCATGGCACAGTCTATGGGCCAGCCCTCCCTCCATGCCCATGTACAGCACCAATCTGGGAGCCAACTGTCCTGTCACCCCACTTAAAATAAGACATCCATAGAGATGCTGAAGGAGAGCACACAGTCTGGTAAACTCACCAGCCCCCTAAAGAGATGGGCAGAGGTGGGAGGGATTAGATGGGTCACGCTGACTGCTCTGGGAAAGCAATGACTGAAGTAGGTTCCCACACACACACACTATTAAAGCATTCAGGGTTTTGTACTTGAGGTGGTTGCTGAGTTGGGAATCACTCTGCACAGAGGGATCAGCTGGTTCTGTGCTTCTCCTGTTCTCCACCAGGTTGGGCTGACGTAGAGATTAGATTTTTTTGCCCAGACTTTGATCTCCTGGGGCGGAATGAAAAAAATCCACTGCAATCCTGGACCCTTCTTAGGCTGAGTCACAGGTAAATCATGCATCCAAAGAAGTGGGTATTTCACACAAAAGCTCATGCTTCTATATGTCTGTTAGTCTATGAGGTGCCACAGGATTCTTTGCTGCTAGGTAAATTATTGTCGTATAAGTAAAGTTGTCCTTCAATTCCAGAATAGGAAAGCTACCAAGAGGAGCTCGGTCCACAGTCACCCCCACCTATTTGTCTCTGGCAGAGGTCTCTCAATATCCATTTCTGTGCAGGAAGGACAAATCCCCAAAGGAGACATGCAAATATCACTAGACTCTGTTCCACATGGAGTTTGATCTTCTTCTTTCCTATAGCTTCGTTAGGTAACAACGACTACAAATGTATATCTAGATTTGATAGCCAGCTTACTGCCCCACCCCCATCTCCTTACCCTGGTGGCAGAGGGTCCCTCACCAGAGGTTGGTCCTAGCTGGTGTCAGTCTGAGACCTTCTGGACAATGGGTACCAGGACTGGAGAAGACAACAGTGCTTGCCCTTCTCCCACATAGAATAGAGAACTGAGCCCTTGGACCACGGGCGGAGATCATAGCTAGTGATAGAGTGCAGCCCTGCCATGCACAGTGTTCATAGACAATGGTTCTGATTAGTAGGTGGCCGCCATTACTTATTTGTGGCAAAATGAGAAAAGTTTGCTTGGAGACAGGTTTCTTTTGAAGTTTGTAAATATGCAGGGGGTTGTTCGCCTTGGAGTATAGAGAGTAGTACAGAGAGGGGAGTTGTTTTGTTATTCAGACACTGAATTACAGCAAGCAAGGGACACCTTGCCTTGTGATCTAGAGGGCCCCCACTAGCAAGAACAGAGCTGGGATTAAGATGAATCATAAAGAGCAAGCTTTTTCTATTGTGTATGTACACTACTGTATCACTCAGTAAATGATGTGTGTTTTATGGAGTGGGTCTCCTAGTCTCTTAACCAAAGCCCCTCGGTGCTGAACCCCAGCCTTACCAGCAGGGTAACACCATTGAGTCACAAGTCCTCATCAGACTGCTCCTGGCACTGGCCAAAACAGCCATCAATCCATCCGGGAGGTCAACACTCAGCAAGGAATTTCACTGTGACTATAGGGGGTCTGTTTCTGTTTCTTAGCTGTCTTACACACTTGGGCAGCGATCCTCTAGGAAGACTCACTGACTCCTTGGACTCCTTTTTTGGTGCAGCCGGCATGATCCAGGAGTGTCCCCATCCTGCTCCTGAGCTTAAACCTTTCAAACACAAGCCCGTTCCCGTTTGTCCCTGTTTTGTCCCAAATAGTAGATTCCCAGCCCTGGGCAGTTAGCACCCGGAGGGCTCTACCCACTTCTCTGGGATTTCAAATTGCCCAGACGATCCCCTCATGAGAAGTTTCTGGATGTAGAGGTTTCCAAATTGACACTGCCCAACTTCATACAAAAAGCTTCCAAAGATGGGAGGCCAAAGCAGACTGACGTGTGACAAGGCCTGGAAATGTTGCTAATAACAGTCTTCGCAGCAGGTACATTTAAAGACTTCAGGGATATGAATCTGAGAGAGCAATCCACACACAGCGTTCTGCAATCAAACACACGGGCACAAACCGTATCACCAAGGGCTGCTAATCGAGACCATGGCCACCAGGATGGGGTCAATGTTCCCTCTAACCTGTGCACCTGCACAACAGTCCATCAAGTGTCACACACTTGATTATTACAGCCACACCAATCCTCAGCAACATCACTTGTGTTTATCTTGGTAGATTCAGTCAGAGAAAGGGAGAGAGTGAAAGGAAAACCCTCTAATACCCAGTGGCTGCTGTTTGAAATTTGGTGGCTTAAGCAAGCCCTCGGATACCTTAGATCACCATCTGCTGTTGTGTTGGGTGATAGGGCCTGGAGAGGCCAAATCACTAGCAAAGCAGTATGGAAAAGGACCAGCCCAGCTGAGTGGTTAGAGGGGTGCAGCAGTTTTCACAGCTCCCAGACTCAACCCCAGGGCCTATAACCCATCAAACTTATACCTTCAGAATCCAAACTTAGGCCTCCAGCACCTGTGACACACGTCTTGGGGAATGGACTGTATGCAATCCAAAAAATCCAGATTTAGCAGTCATTTGATTCCTTTACCACTGTGTTCTCACCCCAGCAGGGCATAACAATGTAAAACGCCACAATGAGTGGAGAAGTCCCATTGTACTAGTTCTCACACAGGATAGGAAAACCCCTTTCTGCATCGATTTCTGAAAGATCAACACAATATTGAAATGTGATGATTACCTGATGCAGAGAGGAGATGAAATATTAGAACATTTTGAGCTTCCAGATATATAGCCATTTTAGACGTCACAAAGGGATACTGGCAATACCTTTAATACCAGAATCCTGG